TACTAATTTTTACTGAAATCAAAGTCAATTTTTTTTACACAAAGTTATTAATAAGTATTATTTAGTAAAAAAAAAAAAAAAATGTTAGGTGAACTTACCAATTAACTATACAAATTAAATAGTCGCCAAATAAAGAATTGTTTTGACTTGGTGTTTGCATAGTATTGTATTGTTTTATTATAATATGATATCTTATGAGACAATGTAAGTGGTCCATTTGTATACAATGTTCAAATAAAAATTATAAACTATGCAGAATAACAGGTTTGACTAAAATAAAAAAAGTAAAAACATTAAAAAATAATTTCTTAGATACAATTTAAAAACTTCTATTGATTTTTAACTGTTTAATTAGCAGAAAAACTTACCAAATAATTTGAAAATGAAGTTTCCAAGTTGGTATCCAATTATCATGCATCATATTAGTTTTAGGTAATAAAACACCTATTTTGAATTGAATTATTTTTACATTGCAAATTAAAGTATTATAAAAAAGCACATTGTGAAGTATTATTATTTAAAATTGAAGTACCTGAGTAGGTGCCTACTTATTTTAATGAATATTCATAATTTATTTTGTTCACCATTATGAAATTATACTAGTAAAGTAGTAAGTCAGCAGAAAACAACATTAATATTAATCAATATTCAATAATTATATCATCAAAATTTAAAATTTAAATACGTTTAAGGTTAACTTAGTTCAACAGTGTGCGTACACTACAATAATAAAATTATATATTTATAATATGATATTTTCTTCTGTGGCATACTGTGATTGTATGATATCAAATTAAGATACTGCATAATTTTTACTTATCAATTGAAATTTATGTAATCTATGTCCTTGCTTATCTGTTATAATTAATTGTGTTTCAATTATTATTATGAGTATATCTTAGTCCGTGGTGATAATATTGACAATAAATAACCTATCTGTCAGTAATAATTGTGGGCTGTGGCTACTATGGTACATTGTTATCGTTACACTGAATCAAATACACGGACTAAGATAGTATCAGATACTATCTTAGTCCGTGGTCAAATATATACAGAGTTTTGAACTACTGGTCTTTACAAACAAAAAATATAGCACCTCCAAAAAATAATATAACTTTAAGGACTTATATCTCATTTATGGATTATTCAATAATAACAATTTCAACATCAAAATTTTTCTAATAATTAGTTTTACAAAATGGCTATTTTGAAAATTTTTAAAATAAATTAAATCAAATTAAATTTTTTTTTATTTTCAGTACTTAAATTAAATATAAAAATAAAATTATTGTACATGTAGCGCAAGGGTTTATAAATGATGAATAAAAAAAAAAATTAAAAAATATTGTTTGGAACAAAAGTTATTCCAAAAGTCAGTTCTATCTGTTACACCCTGTATGTTGGTTTTTGTATTTCGGATTATTGGGACAACCGCTTTATTGGGACAAAATAACACCCAACCGATGTGTCCCAATAAAGCGGAATTGACTGTACTAACTTACTTTAACACTAAATTACTGTCTCAGCTTATTCGCGTCGTTGACTATAAAATTATGCTTAAATGTTAATTTAATCCTACTATTTTAATAATTAATTATTTAATGCGTGTTTGAAAAAAAAAAATATGAATACATATAACGTTATAAAAATGTATTGATTGGTTCTTTTGTGAAAAAATGTTTTCTTAGAGATTGTTTACAATTTGAAGTATAATATTTTTATTTCGACAAATAGCAGTAAATGTTCGTTGTTCTTCTATGGGATTTTATTCTTCGATTCTGTGGTAGTTAATTCTTCTTCTCTATTTGTATTTCATAAGGTAAGTATTTATTATCTTGCTTGTTTTAGTTTTTTTTTTTTTTGAATTTGATTTGTATATATTTTTTATTATTCTTATTTTTCTTTCTACGTTTAAAATTTCTGTTTGGACTACAGTTTCTTCTTCGTGTCTTCGTATGAAAAATTATTTGCTTATTGTTTTTATAATTATTGGTTTAATGCTTATTGTCTACTTTGAAAATATTATATTCGCGCTTTGTCTCAGATGATTGTTGCGGCTTGTTGTCTGTTGACTCGTGCATTTTTGATTATGCTGAAAATACATTCTATTCTTTTGTTTTTTTTATATCTTTTTTTTTTTACATGTTTTTAATATTTTATTATTTTCCCTTAAATGTAATTGTAATATTAATTCATATATATATAGGTAAAGAGTTGATTTAACTTATACATGACATAAACTTAATTTATTTAGGTACTTTATTTATTACTGTGTTTAATTACATATTAGTTAATTATATTTATACTTTCCTAAAAGGGGGTTTATTATCATATTGTTTTGATAAATTTTAATTTTTACAATTATATTATTTTTTGTTTAAAGTAATATTTAGAAAAATGATTCAATGGACTTGATAAAATGTATAAGATTCTCGAAGCCCTCCTGGATTTTTATCAATGTTTTCGGTAACTTTCTTATGTCTTCGTTGTTGGTGTTTGTTCTCGGGTTGTTCCCTGTTATTCAATTTTTTTTTATGTTTCCTTTCGCCTTTTTTATTGCTTTGTGTAGTTTTTTAATTTTTGTTCTCTGTGCGAATCTTTCGATTAAAATATTTATGTTATGACTTCTATTGTGTTCGTACCATATTTCGTCCATTTTTATAGAATTGTTTTCGATTTTTATGTTTTTATTTTTAAAATTGTTTATTATGTTGTATTTAATATTGAAATCGTATCCTAATAGTAGTTTACAACTTAGTCCTTCAATGACGTATACTTTGATTTTATATTTGAGTGTGTTGATTGTAATTGTTACTTCTGTTGTTCCTCTTTGTATTAGTTCATTATTATCTGCGCCTGTTATTTTTATATGTTCTTTGGGTTTAATTTCTTGTTTATTTTTTACTAGGGAATAATCTATACATGATAGATTTGAGCCTGTGTCTATTATTGCATTTTGTTCGTTGTCGTCTAGTTTTATTTGTATGGATAGCACTCTTTGTTTCCGGTCTGTGTCTGAATCTACGCTTGTATTTTGATTTTTGATTTTTGATTTTAATTTCGTCTTTGTTTTGAATTAGCTGGTTTTTGGTTTCTATGGCCTTCTCGTCTTCTTGTATGGACCGATTCCGATATTCTCTTATGTAGTTTCCGCATATTTCACAAAACATAACGTTTCCCCCCTCACTCCAATACTCTTCTTTGTCATCGTGGTCGTCTAGTACATCCTTGGTTGTGGACAAATATTCGCAGTCTTGGCAAAATTGTGAGTACCATATTGTTGATTTGTCAGTTTTAAAATTGTTGCCAGTTTTATTTTTTTCTATTGGGTTTTGTTGTGATAATTATAAGCGATCGAAACATTCGTATAAGAAATGGTCTACATTTTTTTCTACAGTATTAAAGTCGGGAAAAACTGTGATTATTATTATGTTATTGAAATGACGTGGTTTATATCTTTTTGTGATAATTCCTGGTGTCCAATTATAATCTATTCCGAAAATCCCTATACTTTTCATATTTGATTTTCAGTATATTATGGCATTTGTATGTTCGGAATCTTCATGTATTAAGTATAAATTTAAATTAAATTGGTCACAGATAAATGCTAGATCGTCATTTTTAAAACAGTAGCCAGATTTGCAATTAGGAATGCCGAGAATATTTAATAATTCTACCATCTTTCTATATATACCATGTTGTTTCAACCATATTCGTAGTGCGTGGGCACCACAATCACCGTCTCCGGGTAGGGTAAAGCATGTAGTTATTGGCACCTTTAGTAAAATTCGGATTTCATATTATTTTATTTTGTGTTCAACTTGATTTACCTTATCAAATTATCTTTAATTTGTTATAAAATATTCTTATCTATCCATTTTTGTTATCAGAAATAGCTTGAGAATAATATTTTCTTTTATATAAATTTAATTCTTAAAAAATATCAAAAATTGTAGTTATTGGCATCCTTAATCGAGTTATTGCCACTCTCATTTCTAGTTATTGGCATGCCTCAAATTTTCATAGAAAATTTAAATTTAATATTAGAAAGTTTCTATAATCTACCTATTACCTAGTCTAAGAAATGTTATCTTATGTAAAATATAGTTTAATAAAATATCTATAATGGACAAAATAGATACATTAAATATAAAGCAAATATGGCACAAATAGGTACAAATAGAATCACTTACAATTGTTTGGCATTAGGTAGGCCTTTACACTTAAGGTAGGGATGAATCAGTGGCATTGTCAGAAATTTCCAAATATGGGGTAGGGGGTTGTGGGTAATTTTTAAAAAAATATGTAGGAGGCTATCGGCACACACCCCTCTAGTTATGACAAATAATAATATTTTATACATAAATTATACAATGAGACAATGAATTTTCATATCCCTTATAAATTTAATACAAATCTTTTGCAAAAAGAAACGTCCAATTTACGGGGGGTTAAACCAAATGACCCCCCCCCCCTCCCACTGAGAGTACGCCCATTGTAGGAATGCACCTTTAGTACCAAAATTAAGCACATCAGAATTACAAACAATTATGCACTACACAATATAGAACATCTTCGAGTAAATCTTTATTTAATATACCTTACTAAACAACATTAAAAATACTAGAAAAAAAGAGAAAAAAAATATTTGATATACCTATTGCAGTCTTGCATCAGTCAAAATTAATTATAAAAATATTTTTAAAAAATAACACAAGTAATTAAAATAACGTAGATAGTTAAAACTTTTAAAACAAAACAAAATTATAATACATTATTTAATTAACGTATACAGCCTTTTCTCAGTTGCAGTCTTGCATCAGTCTTGATAAATTAATTATTTTTATACATAAGTACATATTACAAGAAAGATCAGTTCTTCAATTGAACTGAACTGAATTAAAAATTAATTATAAAAATATTTTTTAAAAATAACACAAGTAATTATAATAATATAGATAGTTAAGACTAATAAAACAAAACAAAATTATAATACATTTTTAATTAATGTATACAGCCTTTTCGCAGTTTTGACAAATAAAGAGAATATCTTCACAATTGAGATCATCATTGGTATCTTTCATAGCACATCGTTGATGGTATTTATTGTTGCAAAAATTACACTCAACACCCAAATCAGTAACTTTTATTTCAGTGTCACATGAAATACAACAACCACTTTCAATTACACTATTAAATACATTTATATTGAAAGGTTCTTCAAGATCTATGTCCGCATTATTAGTACCTCCAAAATGTTTATAACTAATAGTTTGGCTAGTGACAGTTGTCGGTTTTTTATTTTTATTAAGTACTGGGAAAAGATTTTTTATAACTTTTTGCTTTGTTAATTTAGTGGGTTGATTTGCTTTTAAAATTTTATTTTCCTCCCTAAGTCTTTTTCTTGTTTCTTTGTCTTCTTCAATTGTTCGTTTAGCATGTTCTTTCTGTTCATACAAATATTTCCAATTTTTGGATGTTATAACATAAGGAACTCGTTCAGTCATTCTATTGTTTTTTCGTTCAGGAGTTACAGGCCACACAAGACATGACTCTATTGGTGTTATATTTAACTTTTTAACATTAACAAGGTTTGTAGGTGTGTTTACAGGTTTTTCTAAAATGTTACTTGATGTTGTGATATATGTCTGTTGTTTTAATAGTTCATTTTGATTATTAATAACAATACAATCAGGAGATTGTGCTTTAAAGTTGCATGGTGATATTTGATTAGTACCATTAATATCATAAGGTTGGGCAGTAGAATTTATTGGTGATAATCGAATAGTGCTCTCATCACTATTATCCTTCTTTAATTTTTCAAATAATCTGTACAAAGTAAAAAATTCTTCTGAATACTTTTGGGTTTCTACCTCATCATGTATGTTGTTAAACTTCTCCAATGTTTCAACACCAACAATATCAGAAAAATCATTAAAACTTAGTCAAGTAGCATGAGCAGTATTAGTACTTTTTTTAATGTCACTATCATCTGTATCATTTAATTCAGGACCTTTATTTTTTCCTAAACATTTCTTAAAGTCTATTTGATTTACATTCCATGGGTATAACCCACATGCCCTAAAACCGTTAGTCAAAACTTCACTTTTCACAGTATTTTTTATGACTTGATCTAATATTGGGGCAAAATCTTTCTTTGTAACTGCACAATTTGGATTTTGATTACGCCACTCAAATAATCCCTTTTTCCAACCAGACTTAAGAGGTTTAAATGCGGCCACATCAGCTGGTTGTAATATTCTTGTAGCATTAGGATACAAAGCAATAAGAATTATATTTAATTGCGAACACAAATTGCTTAGTTGGTATGTAAGGTGACTTTTATGCCCATCGACAAAGAGAATAACAGGAAATTGAATACTATTTTCAATCAAGAAAGGATGAAAAACATTAGCAATGTATTCATAAAACACTTCAGCCTTCATCCAACCTGTATCAGACCTTCCAACGCCCCAATTAGGAGGTACAGAATCAATTATATGTTGGGGAATACGTTTATAGCTACAGATAACCATTGGGTGACACATAATTCCTGCCGCATTGAAGGTAAACATAACAGTTAAATTTTCCTTCTCGTTTACTTTGGCCACTTCATAGACATCTTTTGCCCCTTTTGGCCCTAGGACAGAATTTATTTTAGGACAAAGAGAAAAACCTGTTTCATCTCCATTGAAAACTCGAGAAGGATCGTTTAAAATAATTGACAAATTTTCATCAGATAAATATTGATGAATATCGTCAAACCACTTCCTAATATTTTGCTCACTTACATTTGCACTTGCAGATGTCACGTGTTCACTTGTTCTAACTGAGATCACAGGGTTTCTTCATAAAAGGCTTTATACCAAGCAATTCCTAAAAATAAAAATAGTACCTATAATTAATAAATGTATATTTTAGATTTTCCTAAGTAAATTTCCTAGCATACCTTCAAAGTTAAAATACTTTTAAAGCAATAATGTAGAATCACGCGAAACAGTAGGTAACTAACTTAGTGGATACCCAGAATCATAAGAAATGTTCATACCCACTGTATATATAACAGTATTTATTTACCTCTGAGTACAAAATAATCTTGTAATAAACTTTAATATCATATTTCTATAGACAATGTTTATCAAATTGTTATTTAATAACAAATAATTTTAAAATTTTAAATATTGAGTAACTATAAATATTTAACATGGCTCAATAAAAAAATAGTGTGCCTCAATCTAATTCTTACTAACTACATATGTTTTTAATGAAGTAATGTATTATAATTTATTTAAAACAATAACTTTTATGTTACTCTTAACAAAATAACCTATTTAATAACTATAATAATAATTTACTCAATAAGTTTTTAAGTACCTACCTATTTAAACTAATTTATAAACAAACAAATAATATTTTCTTTTAATTTACATTTTTTTCTTAATAAAGTAACATTAATCAATTACATTAATAGGTAGGTATTTGTTAAATTTTCAATAAAAAGTCCTATGGTACAAAGCATTATTATTAAATTGTTCATGAATTGTTTGTCAATTTATTTGATTATACATTAGACTAAACAGCTTTGTTAGTTGTGTTTAAATAATAATGATTATTATTTTATTTTAGTTAATATTTTATTAAACAGTTAATACTAATATTAATGTATTTTATTTTGAATCGTTTCAAACTTAAATAAAGACCTAATAGGTACATAAAAAACAATATAATTACCAGGATAATTATTTTTAAACGGGCTAGACCTTCCTTGTTCATCTAAGAACTGCTTGACACTCAACTGCAAGTCCTCCTTGCGTCTAGGAAATCCCTTTTTAGAGCATTAAAAAAGCCACCGTAGGTACTAGAATTTCTTCTTCTAATTTGGTTAGGATACTTGAAGGGCCACAATTAAATGTTGGTCTGTCTCTATTTTTAAGTCTAAATTGCAAGGTTGATCTATTGATGTTAAATTGTTTGGAAGCTGATTTTTTTGACATGCCATTATCAACAGCTGGTATTGCTGCAGCAATATTATCCTCACAAAAATTAGTTGATTTTTTTGGCATATCTAGTTGTAAAAAAAACATTTAATTGTTAAAAAGATATTATTTTAAACACTAAGTAGGTATTTTTGGGTAGTGTTAATAACTAAAACATAATTATTTACAATGAAGTTCAGTTATTGACACCCTATGCCAATAACTGAAATAGGTTTAAAATAAAATCTAGTTATTAGCACCTCAATTAATAATAATATAAAAAATGTAATAATTTTAATATTGTTACTATTTAATTGAAATTGTTCTTGTGAATCAAATAAAAGATTCTATTATAGCCTAAGGCCATTAAAACTCGAATAATAGCTTATTTTACAGGAAGTATTTGTTAACAAAAAAATATGATTTCTTACCTGTATGGCTGAAGTGACGGAGTGCTGTTTTGTTGATGTACTTTACTTATCAATTAGTTGAAATAAGATGTTGATAATTTTTGGAGCGAAAATTAATCAGTATAACCAAATATTAAAAAAAAAAAAATCATTTCTAGATCAAATACCGCACTATTTATTAATTAAACAATTATAGTGTGCCAATAACTCCATGCTTTACCCTACGTCTTTCGTTTTTATGAATGAGCTATTAGTGCGATTTCGTTCTTTAAACTATCACTGATCGTGTTATTAAAATTTTTACCTATAGTAATATTAGTAGTTTGGGAATCATTGTTTTTATAATGTTTATTTTGTTTTTCACTGTCGTTGCTCGGCAGTAGGCATATTAAAATTTTTATTTGCGTGTCTTGAAAAATAAACTTAATCATGGTAGAAATAACGTTCCAATCCTTTTTGTCTTGTCCAGTGTAAATTTTGGGTAATGCTAAGGTAGTAATATTATTTTCTATGCAAAATTGCCTAATATTAGTTAATGTGTTAAAAATTGTTGAAAGTGAAGCTTGACGGACTAATGATGTTAGCATTAATATAATAAGTAATAACACGACAATATGATTATGTATAAGTATAATATATAATAACGTACAACTGGACAATTAAACTGTGACTATACACACACACCGCGTACACTCGGTATGACAGCGTCTGTGCAAGTGAATATTACATACATCAAAGGCCCTATTTATATGAACAATCGAGGCCATCCCGTATCCGTATATAATATAGAAAGCGATAGTAAAGGTGTTACACAGCTATATCGTAACTGCATAAGTATCTATTAGAAAACGACATTGTACACGCACGTGTGTTTACATGGTTTGAATACTAATATTAATTGTATATTTCAACACCCTCCCTCAATTAATAATTTCTTTAATTGTAGTCACTCCTATGGCTGACCGCAACTTCTCGAATCGTTCCTTAACCAAAGGCTTGGTTAGAATGTCCGCAATCTGGTCCTCTGTTCCAATGTACTGTAGTTGGAACTGTCCTTCTTCGTATTTCTCCCGAATGAAATGATATCGTACGTCTATGTGTTTTGTCCTCTTATGAAACTCCGGATTCTTAACTAAACGTATAGCACTCTGATTATCTATAAATAAAACTGGTTGTTTGTCACCTGTTGTTGATAAGCTTGTTATCAACCGTGTAATCCACAAGATCCCTTTGACAGCTTCACTGGCCGAAATATATTCAGCCTCTGTCGATGATAACGACACACAATGTTGTCTCTGCGATGTCCATGAAATTATGCTTGACCCGTACCTGAATAGAAATCCTGACGTCGAACGTCGTGTCTGAATGTCGCCTGCGTAATCTGCATCGCTAAATATTTCTAATGACAATTTTGTTTTGTTATTAAAGTACAAGCCATAATTAAATGTTCGCTTGATATATCGTATAATCCTTTTTACCAAGTTCCAATGAGCTTTAGTTGGTTTTGCTAAGTAACGACTAGCAAAGTTTACTGCATATGCTATATCTGGTCTTGTTACCTGTGATAAGAACAGTAAGCTACCTACTGCCTGCCTATAAGGTATTTCTTCACTTAATATCTCCGATTCTTCCTTTTGTTCAATAGTATGTGATTTGTCTATCGGAATTGAAAGTTCCTTGGCGTCCAGCATATTAAATTTATTAATTATGCTACATGCATAATTTGTCTGATGCACAAATAATGAACCATTTTTCATTAAGTTTACCTGCATACCTAGAAAATATTCTAAGTTTCCCTTTTTAACCTCAAACTCTTTCTCCAAGTTCGTTAAAAGTTTCTCTATTATCTCTTCATTATCTGCCGCGATTAAACCATCGTCAACAAATATTGCAAGAATAATTTGGCTGTTATCAGCTTTGAATACACATGCATCCGCTTCGGTACATTGTAAACCAAATGCATTCAAAAAGTTCTTAAAGCGTATATTCCAACATCTTGGACTTTGTTTTAAGCCATACAAACTTCGCTGAAGCTTACATACTTGATTTGAGCCATCTTCGTAACCTGGTGGTTGTACCATGTATATTTCTTCCTGTAGTTCCCCGTACAGAAATGCTGTCTTGATGTCGAATTATCGTAGTATTAATTTTTCCACAGCTGCTACTGCGAATATCGCCCTTATTGATTCGTATCTGACCACTGGCGAAAATGTTTCATGGTAATCTATACCATATTTCTGTGAACAACCCTTAATGACCAATCTGGCCTTAAATTTATCTATACTACCGTCAATTTTATATTTGGTTTTGAACACCCATGCATTTCGTAATGCAACTTTATCCTGTGGCAAATCGACTAGAGTCCAAGTCTGATTTTCGTGTAATGAATTAATTTCGTCGTTCATAGCATTATTCCATTCATTTTTGTTTGACCCAGTAATTGCCTCATCATAATTCAATGGACTGACACAGTTAGCAATAAAAGTCTGAACATTATACCTGTCCGGCTTCTTAAGTGTATTCCTGTCACGTAGAACCATAACATTTCTATCATCGACTATATTTTCGTCCTTCTCACGCACGCCCGTTGAATTAATTTGAGTGTCTGTAAACTCTAATGTGTCTGCAATTACATTTTCATAATTATTACATTCGTCTTCGAATATAATGTCTCTGCACACGGATATTTTATTTGTTTTCGAATACCATACACGATAACCTTTCGTGCTGTTCGAATATCCAATAAATATTCCTTTTTCACTTTTTGGATCCCATTTCTGACGTTTTTGCTTTGGTATGTGTGTATATACCGCAGTACCAAAAACTCGTAAATGTTTAATATCTGGCACGACTTTATAATATAACTCGTAAGGTGGCTTACCAATCTGTGAACTCGTTCCGGTTAGATTAAGTGTATAAACCGCTGTGTTCACAGCTTCTGCCCATAATGACACGTCAAGATTTTTCGCACATATCATTGTCCTGGCAGCTTCTACGATTGTTCTGTTATCACGCTCGACTTTCCCGTTCTGTTCCGGCGTATATGCTACCGTAGTTTGGTGTCGTATGCCATATTTCTGTAGAATACCTGTAATATCCTTGTTTACAAATTCTAACCCATTATCTGTCCTTAATATTTTGACTTTAGATCCTGTTTCTGTTTTAACACTTCTTATAAATATTTCCATAATATTTTTTACTTCATATTTATTCTTAATAAAATATACCGTTCTGTAATGTGAGTAGTCATCTCTAAATAATAAAAAATATTTTGACATACCGATAGAGTCCCTCTGCATCGGTCCACATAAATCTGCATGTATTAAATCGCCGACGTTAAAATATTCGGTCTCACTATTACTGAACGATTGACGGTGTTGTTTCCCGATTATGCAGTCGCTGCATACAAATTGATCGTCCTTGGCTGAATAATCAATATTATGTTTTGCCAAACAATTCCTCACGTATTGAATATTCTGGTGAGCTAAACGCTTATGCCATACTTCTAATCGTTTTTCTACTGCAATGTTCGCATAACATTCAGCTTTCGATGGTGCTTCAACTTTGATCTGTAATTCAAACAACCTACCGCATCTTGTGCCTATGCATACAGGAATCCCGTTTCTTTTGAACACACACGTTTTATTGTCTGACGTTAGTTCTAAACCTTTGTCTAACGCTGACCCGCACGAGAATAAATTAAATTTTAATCCCGGCACGTGCAATACATTTGCCAAGTAATTTTTATTCCAATTACCGTTCACGTATGATAATATATTAATATTACCTTTTCCTGTTGCATATAGATTTGTTCCGTCACCTATTGTTACCTGTTGTGTATATTTCAATGGTTCATAACTTGTAAACCATTTTAGGTTCGCGCTCATATGATCCGACGCGCCTGAGTCTAAAACCCACGTATCTGTTGAAGTTTTATTTATCCTTGACTCGCTTACAAATGCATTTAAATTTGTACCTGTAGTACCGGTTTTCCCACCTTTCATACTACTTAGAAAATTCTTACAGTTTCTTTTATAATGACCAATTTTACCACAGTAATAACATTTAACATTACTTTTATTAGTAAATTGTTTTTTACCTTTACCATAACTGCCGTTTTTTCCATCGGATCTGTTTTGAAATTTGGCTGGAAATGCACTCGATTTCTCTTGTTCACCAACTTCACCTTTGATCTGGATAACCCGTGATTCTTCAATCAACAACCGACTAGTTAAATTATTTATATTTTTACTTCCCGTTGGGACTGAATCCCAAGCACTGTAAAAATGATTATATTCTTTTGGTAATGTCATTAGTATTTTTGTCATAACCATGTTATCCGTAACTGGTTCACCCGCTACTCTCAGTTTCCTTCCTAAATTGACCAATTTAGAAATATGCGTCGACATGTCATCTGTCGACTCCTTTGAATAACTGAAAAATTGTTGTTGAAGCAAATGTATACTTGCCTCAGACTTCTGCTCGTAAATACTCAGCAGTTTCTCCCACATTTCCAATGCAGTCTCACAGTTAATCAAATATTGTAATGGACCATCGTCCACTGAGGTAACTATTATTTTCTGACATTTACCGTCCGCTTTTTGCCAAGCGTTTGTCTGCCTTTGCCAACGTGTTTTGGCATCCTCGTCGGTCTCTCCTGCCGACTTTTTTATAGGT